GTAATTATGTATATCGTTCATGGAGAATCAATGGTGATAATTGGCATCATCTACCGTCGAAGTTACTCCACCAAAAGAGTTGCCAAATCACTTATAATATGTATCCAAGGATTTCATTACTTACAGTCAATAGATACACAGCACATACCACTGCAGAGATGCGACAGGAAATGACCCGTCCGGTTCCGTTGCGAAGCGCATTGCGACCGTCTGCGAAGGTCCTACGCATCTCCAATGCGACCGATTGTAACGAACTGGGACGATCGCAGTGGTCGCAACGTATCTCTTCGCAGTTATAAAGACTTAGAGGCCATGCATACTGACAGACTGAATGGGAGGCCCTGGGGCCTCCCATTCAGTTACAGTATGTTGAGTTAATTGTCAATAAATTGTTTTCTGGAAAATGTCTAAATTTCACCTTTACAACCTGGTATTTGAAAACCTCACCTCCCGAAAGCATGCCCCTAGAGCATGTATCCAAAACTTTTTTCCATTACTCTGTGTCTCAGTAGGCACGTCCAGGCCAAGTTTCAGCTTTCCATGTCTCTCCGTTTGACTAAAGCTCATAAAGCTAAAATCATTGAAAACATCTCCCCACAAAATGGGTGCCCATAGGGCACGCACCTCCGAAGTCTGACCTCGCCATCTATATTAAGCATGCACAAATATTCTCTGTCAAGTAATGTCCACCTAAAGAATGGAAAATGACGATGCTAAGTAAGAAATTGAGCAACGGGAACATCTATGAAAATCAAGGGGACGAAAGAAAGTAGGGTTAAAAAACTATAAACTCATTTTTCTTGCCGAATCTTGCCTTTGGACTATCTTGCAGTTGAGCTAGGTTAGTCCTCGGTACTCGTTGGGCTACCAAGACCTAGCCCTTATGTTGGAGAGGTTAATAGAATTACATAATGCCTCGGAGTTAAAGTCGTATGGTTACTTGGTTTGGCAGTTGTGCCGCACTGTTTCCGAATATTAATACGTTCTACAGGTATACAGGGTGTTTCAAAATAACGACTAATATCAATGAAAAATGCTATATTCAACAATTAATGATGACATCCACTAGACAATTCTTTGCAAAAAATGTTAATACTTGGGGGGGATCAGTTTCCACTGTATCTCGTAATGGTGAGTTCATTTCGATTAACTTTTATTCAAAATTGCTGATGATTCCTAGAATGGTTTTGCGATTATGAGCGCGTCGTTCCTTGAAATTTTGACGACATCCGCGTATAATGTATACTATTTCATCGTTCCACATCGAATGCAACCATTGTGGCCATGGCCTAATAAATACCCACCCATTACCTTTGAATCTATACAGTAACAAATGTTATAATCCGTATTAAATATTTGTAACGTAAATTTATAAATAGGGATATTGTAGTGAAACGCTCTATTTTTGAAGTTATGGGAACAGAATTCCTGATGGATAATGCCTATGGAAATATGGAAAGTATGAGAAAAGAGTGAAATCCGCATTGCAGATTGCACTCTTTGCAATATTGGTTTCAATTTCACCTTACTTGAAATCCGCATTCAAGAAAGGTAAAATTGAAACCAATATTGCAACTCTTTTGGGAAAAATTAATGTAATGTCAGAGAGAAATGAATCCAGATGAATTGAGGAGTTCTCTAGAACAAGGGCGTTTGTGCAAAAGATGGAATTCGAGATGAACGATAAAAACTTCCCATGGCTAGTCTGAAGCTAATCAAAACTTAATTATCAGCAAAATGGTATCTTAGACCTTTTTCTAATTGGACTTGCTGTTTAAATGAACGTCTTCATCTCACATTGCAGGGATGCAGGCAGAAGGTGTTAATGCACGTATCGGCTTTTTCATATCCGCATTGTTGAAACGTTTTCCAACGAGTCTTGCAACACTTCTTTCTAGTTAAAAATAATAATTAATGAATAAATGCATCATCAGATTTTAAATAAACTCCTTGAAAAATACCATTGAAAATGTGAATATTCAGGACACGGTTCATTTTCCAATTGCTCAGCAATGATCCATTAAAAATGTATTCATCATTTGAATACATTTCAGATGATGACACTTCTCATCCTTCCAATGGTTTGAATGAATGGGTCTCTTTCTTTCCCTTTCCTGGTGTCTGGTTTCTTCCTCATTTTCAGTTTCAGGTTATGAGGACGAAATAGCTGTCAAAGTCGTTCAGCATGCAAGTGTTAATGTTCATGGAGGCAGCCAAATTGAAATTGCCAGGCAGTTGGCCTGCTATGTATTGAAAGCATAGGAAAGTCTGCCTCTCCTTTGCTGAATACGCATGTGAACTACTAGCTGACCACCCTAACCTATGACTACTCACCTATAGCAGCATATGCACATATATATGGAAAAAGGACGTATGGACACATACGTCCCTTTTCCAGAGAACTCCTCAATTGTAACCAATGATTGCAGGAAGTACTCCAATAGTAGTACATTCATCACCCAAAACTGGTGAGACCATACATCACTTGTTCTGATTATTTTGAACCATATCAGTGACCACTGCAAATACCTTTCAGCAATGGTCCAGATCCTGTCAACAAAACCAAAAACACCATTGTCCATTGTAACAATTCGAAAGTCTATATTTTACATTTTCTCATGGTCGCAGAGATTTACACGAGTGCTGATGTTCTATCATAAAATGCACCTCTGAGAACTGGCAAGATCATATATGATCTCCAATTACTGGCAGTCTTACACGGTATGGATTTTTTGTTCATAAATCTGACATGTTGATGAAATATCAGATAATTATGATGAGGACCATAGCATCATAAAGAATGCATGCACATACAGAGATACGAGGGCCACTCAATAAGTTATCTACCTGAATATGAAAAGGAGGAAGAAACCAGACACCAGGAAAGGGAAAGAAAGAGACCCATTCATTCAAGCCATTGGAAGGATGAGAAGTGTCATCATCTGAAATGTATTCAAATGATGAATACATTTTTAATGGATCATTGCTGAGCAATTGGAAAATAAACCGTGTCCTGAATATTCACATTTTCAATGCTATTTTTCAAGGAGTTTATTTAAAATCTGATGATGCATTTATTCATTAATTATTATTTTTAACTAGAAAGAAGTGTTGCAAGACTCGTTGGAAAACGTTTCAACAATGCGGATATGAAAAAGCCGATACGTGCATTAACACCTTCTGCCTGCATCCCTGCAATGTGAGATGAAGACGTTCATTTAAACAGCAAGTCCAATTAGAAAAAGGTCTAAGATACCATTTTGCTGATAATTAAGTTTTGATTAGCTTCAGACTAGCCATGGGAAGTTTTTATCGTTCATCTCGAATTCCATCTTTTGCACATACGCCCTTGTTCTAGAGAACTCCTCAATTCATCTGGATTAATTTCTCTCTGACATTACATTAATTTTTCCCAAAAGAGTTGCAATATTGGTTTCAATTTTACCTTTCTTGAATGCGGATTTCAAGTAAGGTGAAATTGAAACCAATATTGCAAAGAGTGCAATCTGCAATGCGGATTTCACTCTTTTCTCATACTTTCCATNAAGTGTGTTGAGTTAAAAGGTGACTACATTGAAAAATAATTTGTTATTTTTCCCCTCGGATGTTTCTTTCTTATTCAGGTATTAATAGATAACTTATTGAGTGACCTTCGTAGCAATAGTATTCATACTAGTACCGGTACCGGTTTTTTTTTTATTAAATCGAACCTGACAATAACAAATTTCTAAATGTCCCAACATGAGAGATAGACAAAGAATATGCATGAATCATATATAACCACATCTGTTTCCTCTAGGCAAGCTTCCCTCTTATTTATTAGAGTAGAGCAGGTAGAGCATGAAAACACCATCTGTAGAACACATCTGCTCCTTCTAACCCTTGATAACTTTAGTTATGGAAGGTATAAAGAATTCTGATATGTTTCAGATAGTCGTGAAACATATGCCGCTTGAGATATCTGTCTACAAGCTAAGAAACTTGTCATTGTTACCATGTATACTGTTTAACCTCTCAACTGCTTGTTTTTCTTCCTTGTGCCATTCTCGTATCGCCAGGTTGCTTGGAATGGAAACAACTGGGCCATGGGATGCGAATTTAAAGGAAATGATTTGTCAAGTGCACAAATACGTGGGGAAGATTGTAGCGGAAAATGTGCTGGTACCCAAGGATGCACTCATTTCACCTGGACTACATTTAATGGGGGTACTTGCTGGATGAAGCAAGGCCCAGTTTCTAAAAACGATGCTATCGCAACCTGTGACGATTCCATGGTTTGTGGCGTTACGGATTCTGCTGGCAATAGTGGTGGTGGCAGTATTGCTTGGAATGGAAACAACTGGGCCATGGGATGCGATTTTAAAGGAAATGATTTGTCAAGTGCTCAAATACGTGGGGAAGATTGTGGTGGAAAATGCGGTGTCACCCAAGGATGCACTCATTACACCTGGACTACATTTAATGGGGGTACTTGTTGGATGAAGCAAGGCCCAGTTTCTAAAAACGATGCTTTCGCAACCGGTGACAATTCCATGGTTTGTGGCGTTACGGATTCTGCTAGCAATAGTGGTGGTGGCAGTATTGCTTGGAATGGAAACAACTGGGCCATGGGATGCGATTTTAAAGGAAATGATTTGTCAAGTGCTCAAATACGTGGGGAAGATTGTGGTGGAAAATGCGGTGCCACCCAAGGATGCACTCATTACACATGGACTACATTTAATGGGGGTACTTGTTGGATGAAGCAAGGCCCAGTTTCTAAAAACGATGCTTTCGCAACCGGTGACAATTCCATGGTTTGTGGCGTTACGGATTCTACTGGCAATAGTGGTGGTGGTAGTAGTATTACTTGGAATGGAGACTGGGCCTTTGGATGTGATTTTAAAGGAAATGATTTGTCTAGTGCTCAAATACGTGGGGAAGATTGTAGCGGAAAATGTGCTGGTACCAAAGGATGCACTCATTTCACCTGGACTGGATTTAATGGGGGTACTTGCTGGATGAAACAAGGTCCAGCTTCTAAAGATGATGCTTACGCAATAGTTGATAAATCCACGGTGTGTGGTTTAGTGGGACAAACTCCTCCAACTGGACAGGCTGGAACTACCACTAGATACTGGGATTGCTGCAAACCCAGCTGCTCATGGCCTGGCAAAGTTTCTGGATCCAATGCTTTCGTGCAAACTTGTAGCAAGGATGGTTTCTCTGTCCTTACCAATCCCAATGCTGGCAGTGGATGTGATGGAGGTGAAGCCTTCGTCTGTAACATTCAGAGACCATGGGCCGTCAATGACCAACTGGCCTATGGATTTGCTGCCGCCACCATTCCAGGCTTGAGTGAACAAGACCGTTGCTGTTCATGTTACAAACTTGTTTTTACCAATGGTCCAGTCCAAGGAAAAACGATGATCGTCCAGGTCACTAACAGCGGNCCTGCTACAAATGTGAACATCGATCGATATAAGAAGCACAATATCACTGTCCCTGAACTAGTGCCAATTAAACCTGTAATTCTGAACATGATCTAGCAGCGCGTCTGTGTAGGAAAGATGGAATACGAGGGAGATCGAATGGCAGCAGATGTGGGACACAAAATCGATTCGATTCGATTGCTGCCGTACCGCACTGCCCATTCAGTCCGTTAAACTGTTCGGCTTGTGAAGAGCAGTGACCAAAAATAACGCCCTCTTCAACTCCCAAAGCATTGACAAATCAGATAGATTTTTCATGCGATGCAATTACTTCTCAGCAGTGGGCATTGTATAGCACTGTGAAGAAATTGAGAAAGCATGAAAAAGCGGATAATTTCATTAATGCGATGGAACCATTTTTGACTTCCTCTATTTCCTGGACTCGGACGTTGAAACGTCTTTTGAAGT